CAAGTAACACTCTACTTCTCAAACAAGAGAAATATGAGCATTTCTACCGCTAGGGGGCACTGCTAGGGAAGGCTCCAGTTTAGTTTGCTTGTGGGCTCCATCTTGTACCTCCTACAGTTGTGATTGTTGAGATACAGTAGATGATAGTTTCTGTCCTCCTCTCAGGTCTTAGTTGACATGTAAGAAGGTAAATTTGTTTATCTTTATAATCTTTAACACATCCTATCAATGTTCTCCACCATCACAGCATAATGTTTATGTGTAGTCTGGTCAGTAAATTGGTTTTACTTTTCCTCCCCTCAGTAAAATCTAGAGCAGTGTTTCTCAACCAGGGTTCTGCCATGATCTGCCCATCCATCACTAGCAGATGATGTATAAATCGCATACCCACGTAACTGAAAGTCAAGCTGCATCAATGATCTGCACCAATCTCAACCAACCCTCCCCTCCTGTCTGTCCCAAGTGTCTGTGTGTAACATCACTCAGAAGGGACAAGAGAGGAGGGCAGGTGGGGACCAGTGTGCCAGATAAAATCCAGCATCTTTCTTGAGTTACTCTGCATGAGGAAAACCACTATAGATCCCGGTATTGTGCCCTCCAGTACTGTTTCCTCTTGGCCCTTGGCCCTATTGTACTGTGCTGTACTCTACTTGCCTCCCTATATTATTCCCTCCTGCACCCCCATACTGTTCTCTCCTGGCCCTGCTACATTGTTCCCTCCTGACCCCCCCCCCATACTGTTCCCTCCTGGCTCCCCTATACTGTTCCCTCCTGAGCCCCCTACACTCTCCTATTCTGCCCCCTCCATACTGTTCTCTCCTGGCCCCCCTGTACTAATACCTCCTGGCACCCTTGTACTATGCTGTGCTCTTCTGGCCCCCACTATACTGTTCCCTCCTGGCCCACCTGTGCTCTTTCCTGCTGACCTCCTGTACATTGCTTATCTCAAGTTTGACCCAGAATTGAGCATCTGTGCAAAAAAAAGCAAGCTTGAGTTTCACATTAAGTAGGGCAGTTTTAATATTTATTCTATTGCTATACATATGAAAATGATTTCAGAGGTTCCCCGAGATCTCAGACTTTTTGCCAGAGGTTCCTCGAAGGTAAAAAAGTTGTGAGCTGATCTAGAGCTAGAGCTCAAGTTTGGACACATTTCAACAGTGTAATTTCTTCTGAGAGCAAAGCGGCAACACTGAATTTTTTTTTCAATTATTCAGAAATTCCAAAAAAGAGGGGAAAAAGTTTTTTTCCCATGGTTTCAAAATTTCCAGAAATTTTATATATATCTCTAAATGTGAGTAGTGGCAGGTTGGCATTGTCATGCACTGAGGATTGTCATGTCAGTGGGTCAATGTGATTTAGATGAATCTACATTTTTGGACAATATGATTGATGTTGGATTGGAGTTCTATATCTAGTGCTCCCCCCCCCCTTGTTTTAAAGGGGACTTTCAGAATCTAAAAATTTTCTCCTACAGACCCCCATATCCCTTTTTTGATGGGGAAATGAGGCCCTTGTCCTCTCAACATGGGGTTAAGGTTTGCTGCTCATTTGTAAGATTCCCTCTCAATAATGAAGGCATGTGACCTGGTATGGTTTAGGAGGGAGGGGTGGTCACATACTCCCTACCAGGGGCGGACTGACAACTCATGGGGCCCCCGGGCAATAGGGGATCACGGGGACCCTGTGTCCTTGCCCAAACTCAAAAAAGCCTATTAAAAAGGTACCAGGGGCATCTCATGGGGCCCCCTACTGACCCCGGGCCCTCGGGCAGTGCCCGAGTTTCCAAATGGTCTGTCCGCCTCTGCTCCCTACACCCTCCTACCTGGCCAGCAGCAAAGAGGGCCCAAAATATCTGCTCCCCCATGTAAATGAGTACTGGATACTTAAACAAAAAAACACCATGAAAAAAGTAGCTTGTTATAAAAAACAAAAAGTAATGTGAATCCAACACAGGGGTGGACTGACCATTTTGGAAACTCGGGCACCGCCCGAGGGCCCGGGGTCAGTAGGGGGCCCCATGAGATGCCCCTGGTACCTTTTTCATAGGCTTTTTTTGAGTTTTGATCCCCTATTGCCCAGGGGCCCCATGAGTTGTCAGTCCGCCCCTGAATTCCAACATCAATCATTTCATCCAGCGGTGCATTCATAAAGAGCCCCAATCCACGATGCTGACCTACCACGATAATGACACGCTGAACGACACTGCTGTCCGCTGCTACTCACCACTGCAAATGACAGCTCCCTGCCAGTTTCTATATTACACAAGCCAGGAAAGATCCTGGATGATGTTATTGGGAGCTCTAATTTTTTCACTGATGTCACCCAGGTTCCCAGACAGCTTGTTTACATACAGAGATCTATCATGTCATTAAGCAGCATTAGAGTCCATTCACACTTTGTGAAAATGTGAAAAGTATTTGCGTGTTCAGGTGCCATTCATTTCAATGACACCTAAAAATGCGGGGCGTTTTTTGCTGCTGTGATAGCAGCGCATTTTTCCTTGCATCAAACGTGCCGCGACTGCACAAACAAAAATCGTGGGACGCGCGATGCCCAAAAAAGGAGCCATTTTTGGGTGTCAAGTTCCCCACAATTTTGTTTGCGCAATCATGCCGCGATAGCAGCAAAATGCTCCACATTTTCAGGTGCCATTGAAATGAATGGCATCTGAACACGTAAATGCGTATTTTCAAATTTTCACAGCGTGTTTCAAATTGTGGGCAGAATGATGTTTACAAACATCAGCCAGAGGTTTGGTCGGGTGAACTGGGCAGTTGGTTTGCCTGTTCGCTGAACTGCAAACCGGCTGGGTTAGGGTCAAGCTCATGTTAATTTATATGAAAATAATATAAGTATGTGTTTTATAGTGTTACAAAATTAGGGTCTAATTTGGTTTAGAAGCTGGCTTCTGCTATTTGTTCTCAGAAATGTTAAGTAAAGAATATAAGAATATGTAAAGCCAACATTTCATATTCCTGCTGTACCATGTACTTGTATGAATAAGTACCCCGTTCTCTTTGCATTGATTCCTGGTGAAATCCCTGGTGTTCCTGCCAGTCCTACTGCTTTTCTATTACCACTCAACCACACTAGGCATGAGAGCACAGCATGGTCAGTTTTCTAGCTGTGTTGGGAGCTAATCCAATGATTAGACATGTCCTGACACACTGCCGCCATCCCCTCCTTTCCCCCCCACAGCCATTCACTTGGAAGATCAGTATACTGCTGCTTCTCCTCCTCATGTACACTGCAACTGATAAACTCACATTTAGGAGCTGTTCAGCGTTTTTTTCAGCAGCCCCTGAACTCACCCTAATGTTTTCCTATGTGTCCATGTACACATCTTTGTTTACAGTAATTTACAGGCATTTAAGTTTACTGTAGTTTTTGTGAACACAGAAAACTTGTGTTCAGCAGTCGATTTTATCAGCGTTTCAAACACAAAATGCTTGTAAACGCGGCTAAACGTGGCAAATCGCGTTTATAAGCATTTGCGTCAGAAATTTTTTTTTAACTCTTCCAATTCCCGATGCTCTCCAGAGCCTTTTTTCATCATGAAAAATGGATGCAAAGTGTTTTCAAGGTACTCAGATGGACAAAACACTGAAAACAGGATGTTCCAACCAAGCTTGTCACACATTGTAATGACCAATTCACACCTCAGACCTCTCCCACCCTTGGAAAGAAAAGATATGTTAATGACCATTCACACCTAAATTTCCTCATAAAGACCCCCTGCCAGGTGACCTTAATGACTCACTCCAGCAGAAACCTTTCCCACCATTGGAAAACAAAAGTTAATGAGCAACTCACACCTAAGCTAATCTCAACACATACTTCTGTCTCTGCTTCTACTCTCTCTATTTCGCTGAAACAGTCTGAAATAGTTAATAATTTACCATTTTTCAGTACATTCCAGGCATTTGGGAGGTTCTCCTGTGCTTATCTTTAAAAAACGCTTCTGAATGGGTTGTTTTACATGGCAAGGTTTACATATTCTTTAAGTGCACTTAAGTTTTTTGCTAACAAGTGTTAATAAAGTAAAATTGTCACTTGGTCAATGCAATATGAACATACAATGAAACTTGCATTTTTAGATTTTATTTTTGCCTCCTTTTGCCACCCTTATGCTGCCCATGCATGTTACGATAAATGTTATCACAAATATGGTTGTTTTGAATGTTCCTTGCTTAAAAAAAAACACTTGCCACAACAGTATTTATTTAATGAATGTAATTAGGTTTTCCTTCAGGATCCATCAGGATGGAGTGTTCCTTTTTGATGAAAAAATATTTTATTCATATTGAAAACTCTGTCCGATACAATCAACATACGGATAATTATACTATTGCACAAACTTATAAATATGTATTTGCCCAGCATTAGATATTTGTGAATAAAAGCTGCAAAAGATATGTAGTGGTAGACAGTTCAAGGCATCCAGAGGTGTATTTACCACAAGGTATTTGCCTAGGGCGGAATTTTTCAGGGAGGCAGCACCTCCACCCCCCAGGAAGAAGGGACATATGTGGCATGGGGACCAGGTGGGATCTGAAAAAGGCTGCGGGCTGCTTGATGGTGTATGCAGAGCTTGTTCCCAGGGGATGTCCGAAGCCGTAAAGGTGAGTGTCTTACTCTCTGTTGCAGGGGGTGTGGTTGTTAGTGGAAGACTCTCGGGTGGGAGGGCAGGGGTGTTGTTGGTCACTGTCAGGCTCTCTCCTGGGGGTGGGGGGGGGGGTAGGGGGTCTGATGTTGGTTGGTGTCAGGCTATCTCTGCCAGGGGGGCGTCTTATTTTTGTGCTGCCTAGGGCAGCAAAAAACTTAAATACACCCCTGAAGACATCTGAAGAGAGTCAAACAAACAGCAAGGTATTTGGTTGATCACAAAATAATAGCTCTGATTTACTAACTCAATAACTTGATGCTTTCATTTGCAGTATTTCCATAAAGTAACAAATTATTTGTTATTAAAAGAATGTTCCAAACGTTTATTTTCAGGAAGTACAGAGGTGAGCCTAGGCTGTGGCAAAGGTTGTGAAGCATGTTCAGAGGTGAACGGATGTATTAAGTGCTTACCAAGGCTTTTTATACTTTTGGAAAGGAATGATATTCGACAGATTGGCGTCTGCTTGCAGTCCTGCCCCCCAGGATTTTATGGTGATCGTAGTCGCGAGATAAACAAGTGTACAAGTAAGTCTACTAACATGTTGTAGCATTACCCCCTTAAGGGTTGCTTAGTAATTTTTGGATTCCCTGCCAATCTGGACCTCTCGTTGAAAGCCCAACCTCTACTGACACCAGCGTGCTCTGGTGACCCAGATAAATCACACCTGTACAATGGACTCACACATAGAGTGGTATAAACCAAAATTAAGTTTATATTGGATTTGGAGGTAACTAAGTCAAGAATAACAAAATAATGCTGATATTGGCAGCAAATCTGATCACTCTTGGCAGTCGTGAGCATAGGTGACAGCATTCGCAATAAAACAACAGAGTATCTGTTAGCAGGCCTGCTTTCAGAAATAATCCACTGCCTCAAGTCTGAGGAGACTGTTGAATCCCCAGTGAGCAAGAATTCTATCAATAACAGATTAGCTCACTGTTTGTTCTCAGAACTAGATAACAAAGATTAAATGTGAAATAAAGAGAATATTCAGTTATAATTAGCAGTGTCTCCTATAAGATCTTCTGCGCACCTGTTGGGGCACAATTGGTGTGAAGTTGCGTCCGGGGGTAGATGCTAGTTCCTCAGAGTAGTCACATCAAAGATAATGAGGGAAAAGCTAACACTTCCCTAATTGATGGCAAATAATTAGTGCAAGGTTCCCTTTAAGAGCTCCAGTAATGAATTGAACTTGAAGCGCTAAATAGCAACAGTTGGCATACATGTCTATGGACATAGATAACTCCATCTGGATGTCAAAGGCAAAAGATAAACTGTAGTAGGAATCCTGCTCTGCAGAAAGAGATCTGTTGATACAGTTGGCACTGATGTATCTTTGTCTATAACTGTATATCCTATGGTCAGCTTGGATGATAACTGTACTGCATGTATATTCCAACAATGGCGCTGGTATAACTAGGCAGCAACTGGGGCAACTGTATGAAATGTTCACAACTATGTGCAAGCAGATAACTGAGGTGAAGAACTATCAATGTTCACTTTGTCAGTGGATGCATGGGTCTCTCTCACCCAATCAATTTGGTTCGGTGGAATGCCATGATTCGTCTTTCCCGATGGATAGACACAGTCCACGGGCCCTCTTGTTTAGACTTGGCATCCAGCTCTCCTGCTGTTAGAGTGTATAGCAAGCCGGGCGGTCAGTGAGTTCTTTCTGCACTCTCTTTCCAGTCCTGGGTCCTATTTCAGTGTGTCAGCACACCTCCTTCTCCTTCAATCTCCTTCTGCACACTCCTGGCCAATATCTCTAGCTTTGATATTTATATGCCCTCACCCACACACTACCTCTCCTCAGAAATGTAGTCCCAAGCACTGTGTCAGTTCATCAGCCAAATCCAATTTAGATGGCCACTGCCATCTAATGTCGGTTTTAATGTATTGTGATTAATAACATTTCAGTAGGTTACAATGTTATATACTGTTCTACAAATTCATACTGTATATTAGAGTAATCAGAGCTCTCTGCATGATACTTGAACCAACATTCAAATCATTCACTATGTGATGGGAAAGGTACATGTTTTAATACTATGTTTTAGCTAAAATATATAAAATACATCTCAATCACACACTGTCATTAGTCCTATCATTTCAGGTTGGTAAAAACTGACACAACATCAATATTCATCCATATTTTATCATATATTCTTTCTGTTAAATATACCAGTGAAAGCATGCACAATTAAAGAAAAAAAGCTTCTTGATTCTGCCAGATCCAATGAGCTTCTTAATTTCTGTGTTTTTGCTGCACTGAAATGCAAGCAGTCCTATCAGTCCTGACCAGTTTTCCTCTATGAACTACAGAATTCCCCCTTATCAGTCCTGACCAGTTATCCGCTGTGAACTACAGAATTCCCCCTTATTAGCCTTCACTAATTATGCTCTGTGAACTACAGAATTCCCACGTATCAGTCCTGACCAATTATTCTCTGTGAAACACAGAATTCCCCCCTTATCAGCCCTGACCAGTTATCATGTATGAACTACAGAATTCCCTCTTATCAGTCCTGACCAGTTATCCTCTATGAACTACAGAATTCCCCCTTATTAGCCTTAACAAATTATCCTATGTGAACTACAGAATTCCCCCTTATCAGTTCTGGCCAATTATCCTCTGTGAAATACAGAATTCCCCCTTAGCCCTGACAAGCTATCTTCTATGAACTACAGAATTCACCCATATCAGCCTTGACTAGTTATCCTCTGAACTACAGAATTCCCCCCTTATTAACCCTGACCAATTATCCTCTATGAACTACAGAATTCCCCCTTATCAGTCCTGATAAATTATCCTCTATGAGCTACAGAATTCCCCCCTTATCAGCCATGACCAATTATCCTCTGTGAACTACAGAATTCCACCTTTATGGATATCAGAAGAGGCGGAGGTGTTCTATAGTACAAATCTAGAACATGCAGCCTAGGGTGACAACATTGCTCCTCCGTATATACAGTACTGTGAGTGGGAATCGTCTCCTAGGACAGGAAGTACTGTGTGTTTCTGGCAGGATCACCAAGTGAGAAATGAAGAAGGACTAAAAACAAATGCAGCCACCACATTAAATGACTGATATACTGCAATATATGTTTTCATTCTTGGGCTTGCATATACTTACATTTTTTATTGACTATACTATATGAAGTAATCTCAGTTATGTAGACTTTTAATAGAATTTATTGCATAGCATAAATGACATCCTTAAAATAGAGGTTTACGATCTGTTTTTTTATTCTTTAGAATGTAGAGTGACAAACTGTGAGAACTGTTTCAGCAGGAACTTTTGCACAAAGTGTAACGATGGCTTCTACTTACATAAAGGAGTTTGCTACTCCACTTGTCCAGAGGGATTTATTGCAGCAAATGGTACCATGGAATGCAGCTCCGGTAAGTGGACACCTTTTGTGCATACAATTAACAAAATCTCATCACCTAAGTATAGGATTTGCAATATATAAAACAGGATTGTACACATAGTTTTTTTTTTCTTTTTTTGTTCAACCAGTGAGTTGAACAAATAAAACAGAGTCTCACATCCTCACAAGCGATATGGATGCAGGGATCTCCCCTGCTGAGCTGACCATCAGAATGCATTGCTCAGCGCTGTAGCTGTTGGCTGCAGCAGCTGATCGAATGCTGGTTTTCCAGCATGACTTTTCAACAGAAGCCAGTCTAATAATCAGCTTCTGTTGGACAGTGAAGGCAACACATGGATCAAAATTTGGCCGGTTCCTGTTGAACCAGATGAATTTCAATGTGTGTGTACCCAGCTTTAAAGGCTAACTTCAACCAAAACGTTAGCTTTGGCTAGATTGGGGAAGCTTTAAAACCTATGTCAGATGTTTATTGGCTGTCTTTCCTCCTTGATAACTCCCATCACTCTTGTCTTCTATTTTGGAGTCACTGGGAGAGAAAGTACTATAGAGGTCCCTTTCACACGAAGGGTCCTATCAGGTCCGCCTGTTGGTTTTTCAGGCAGACATGGTTGGACCTTCCATTCACCCCTTTGGACAGGCGGGTGTAAACTGACTTGTGTGTGTTTACATCTGCCTACCTCCAATCTAATCCAATCCAGTCTGCTAAAAAAAAAAAATAGAAGAGAGGCATATAAGATGCCGCCTATCAGTGCCAGTCAATGCCGCCTATCAGTGCCATATATCAGTGCTGCCTTTCAGTGACCATCAGTGATGCCTGTCAATGCCCATCAGTGCCACCTACCAGTGCCTCCTCATCAGTGCCCATCAGTGCCACCTATCAGTGTCCATCAGTGCATCTTATCAGTGGCCATCACTACAGCCTCATTAGCACACATCAGTGAAGATGAAAAATCACTTATTTACATAATTTTATAACAAAAACTAAGAAAAAAACTTTTTTTTTTCAAAATTTTCAGTGGTTTTTGGTTTGTTTAAGAAAAAATAAAAAACCCAGAGGTGATTAAATACCACCAAAATAAAGCTTTATCTGTCACAAAAAAATGATAAAAATTTCATATGGGTACAGAGTTGCATGACCGCGCAATTGTCATTCAAAGTGCGACAGCGCTGAAAGCTGGAAATTGGCCTGGGCAGGAAGGGGGTATAAGTGCCCTGTAGGCTAGTGGTTAATGAAATCCTTGGCTGCTTTGTTTACAAACAGAACAAAGTGGCTGGGAGCTGTCAATTGTTTTCTGGCAATGTAAACACACTTTGTTCTTTGTAAATGTCAATGTTGCTGTTGTAGGTTTATACCTCGCACAGATTACCCATTTCGCTGGCAGGGTCAGGGCATTCCCCAGGCATGTAATTTGATAGAGTTTTGCATTTTCAATGTTTCACTTTAAGAATTACTATAACCACTCCTCCCTGCCAAACAGATTTTTCAAAAATAATTTTTTGCTTTGGTCCTGCAGGTCAGTGTCCAGCCCCCCATGCAATTTGCTTGACAATCATCTGCCTATTACCTCAGCAAAAGGCCAGAATTTATTTTTAATGTTCAGCTCCCATTGACTTCATTGTGGTCCTGATTCAGCATCTGCTTAACAGAGAGACTGTCAGGAAAATCTAATTGTGCTCTCTGCTTAATAGAGTGTTGTGATGGATTAGTCAGGTCTGCTCATGATGCTCTGGTGCTGCTGAGTTTGCCATGAGTTGTGCCGCCTTTAGAAAGTTATGAGAGCCTTCCAAAACCTGGGAGGGAACTAGGCAAATGAGCAGCATGAATACAGCCCTGGCCAATTGCAGGGGAAGATGACCCCATTGCATACTGGGAGTGGTAGTTATGTTCTGTGAACACATGGATTCATCGTCTTTCCCTGGAGAGGATTGCACCAAGCAAGGCTTGAGGCAGGCTTGCCTCACCTGGCACTTGCTGCCATGCAGGCCTCGAGTGGGTGACCTGAGGGCCTGAAGTTAGAAAGAGTGACCCTGGTTCTACAGTAAGCTGACTGAGGGGAGCTGTCTGCCAAAGATCTGTCTGGTATCACTGGAGAGAGTTGCTTAGAAGATTGGAAGGAGGTTGCCATTCTGTCCTTGGACTTGTGAGTGCAGACACTGAGAGATCTTGGGGACTCTGTGTGCTTTGCTACCCCTCTGGTGCTTAATAGTCAGCGTGGGTCTGAGAAAAAGGGAACACTGACTGCTGTTCTGAAGAGATTTTCCAACTGTTGCTACCACAAAGGACTTTGCTCGGTTCCATTACTTGTGGGCTGCTACAGTCTGCCGTAACAGGCATGTACCTGAGAAGCTCAGCCCTGCAACTACTACTACCAGCAAAGGGACTTGGCTCACTTCTAAACTACTTGTTACTATAATTTAAAGAGAAGTCAGCTATTTGCTTTCAGCCAGGACTTCAAGAGTGCTAAGAGATCAGCTAGATGCCCTCAGTGTGAATAGTTCTAATTTTGGAGTATCCTTCTAAATTCCCCATCCTTATCCCCAGTTCTACAATAAAAACAAACTTCCCCCAGACTGGCCATTGAAGACAATAAGCGAAAGAGTGTGTGTACCTGGCTGTGTAAAATACTTTGTGACTGGCTGCAGGGTGTGTGGCTTGTCACTATTAATCAGTATCTGATCGCCCTCTATCTATATGCTCCATATGCACACATACAGTTGTGTTCAAAATAGCAGTGTGTTGAAAAAAGTGAATAAAGCTCAAAATCCTTCTAATAGCTTTAATTTCCATACACACAAATGCATTGGGAACACTACACATTCTATTCAAAATTAAAACATGAACAAAAATATATCAAATTAGTGTTGTTCCTCTAAAAAAATTGAAGAAAAATGAGTATTAGACTGTTCAAAAAAATAGCAGTGTTTGTATTCTTCTTTACAAACTCAAACATTTCATTATATAAACTGAAAAATGTTTGAATATTTTGCTTTCCTTTGAATCACTTAATTAATATTTAGTTGTATAAGCACTGTTTCTGAGAACTGCTGTACATTTGTGTTGCATGGAGTCAACCAACTTCTGGCACCTGTGAACAGGTATTCCAGCCCAGGATGATTGGACTACATTCCACAGTTCTTCTCTATTTCTTGGTTTTGCCTCAGAAACTGCATTTTTGATGTCACCCCACAAGTTTTCTATTGGATTAAGATCCGGGGATTGGGCTGGCCACTCCATAACGTCAATCTTGTTGGTTTGGAACCAAGATGTTGCAGATTTACTGGTGTGCTTGTGGTCGTTGTCTTGTTGGAACACCCATTTCAAGGGCATTTCCTCTTCAACATAAGGCAGCAGGACCTCTTCAAGTATTCTGATGTATTCAAACTGATCCATGATCCCTGGTATGCGATAAATAGGCCCAACACTGTAGTATGAGAAACATCCCCATATCATGATGCTTGCGCAACCATGCTTCACTGTCTTCACAGTGTACTGTGGCTTGAATTCAGTGTTTGGGGGTCGTCTGACAAACTGTCTCCAGCCACTAGACCCAAAAAGAACAATCTTACTTTCATCAGTCCACAAAATGTTGTGCCATTTCTCTTTAGGCCAGTCAATGTGCTCTTTGGCAAATTGTAACCTTTTCAGCACATGTCTTTTTTTCAACAGTGGGACTTTGCGGGGGCTTCTTGCAGATAGCTTGGCTTCACATAGGCGTCTTCTAATTGTAACAGTACTCACAGGTAACTTTAGACCTTCTTTGATCTTCCTGGAGCTGATTGTTGGCTGAGTCTTTGCCATTTTGGCTATTCTTCTATCCATTCGATTGGTAGTTTTTCGCTTTCTTCCACGTCTTTCAGGTTTTGGTTGCCATTTTAAAGCATTTGCGATCATTTTAGCTGAGCAGCCTATCATTTTCTAAACTTCTTTATATATTTTCCCCTCTCCAATCAACTTTTTAATCAAGGTACGCTGTTCTTCTGAACAATGTCTGGAACGACCCATTTTCCTCAGAATTTCAGAGAGAAATGCACTGTAACCAGCATGTACATTTGTTGCCTTCCTTCCTTAAATAAGGGCAATAATTGCCACCTGTTTTTCAAAGAATGAATGACCTCACTAATAGAACTCCACACTGCTATTATTTTGAACATGCCCCTCTCAATTAGTGATTCAATTACACAGAATCAGCAGCATGCATGTCATGACTGTTGGGTCTGTTGGATTTCTATTACTCTACTACACCTGCTAGTAAATTATTTGCCATGTAGAAATCGCTTCTCGGCCTTTTGGCTAAGATCAAGTGTAGTATCTGTTCTTATCAGTGTCCAGTGGGGGTGCTACCGACCATTCTGGTAAGAGGATGGTTGTTGTATGGTACCCTCACTGGTATGATGGGGGTCTGGATGGCTATTACGGGGAGGACAGAAACCGGGGAGCGCCATGATTCGTTCTGGGGCCTCGGGAGTAATTCTCCTTTGGAACGTCTGAAGGACCCAGTTGCCTCCTGATTCGGACGGTCTACCTTGGTCTGGCCTGGGGCTGGGAAGGCAGAGAGTCCGCAAACTAGGTGCCCCCTGAGTAGTCGCCTCAGGGGTGCTCTAAGTAACACTTGGGTGTGGGGACCCCATGCTGTGAATGAGCACATGGTCACCGAGTTTAACACTTTTTGCACTGCGCCTCTAGGACCGGGCCTTTTGGTCAAGTTCTGGGCAATTTTTTTGCTACAGGCCTCAGGGTCTGGTCAGTGCACAATTTGGGCACGACACTTTTTATTATTTTTATAGATTTATTTAATTATTTATTTATTTATTTTTCCTCACCCCACGTTTGTCACCTATTACTTTTGTGTGTGTTTTTTTTCTCACAGGATGGAGGGTGTGGGTCCTCGGGCCTACCCTGACGTCTAGGGGGAGGATGTGTGGCCATACGGTTCCTTCCTCCCCTGTCCCTAGGGGGTTTTCTCTTCGGGAGAACCCCCTGACCTAGTACTGGATGTCCGGCTTCGGCTGGGCATAAGGAACGGTGGTCCACCAGGCCTTTTGGCCAGGAGGACCAAATGGGAACCTTGTCCCTGTCAGGAGCTTCGTGCCCCGGGGGATCAGGGTAACGGTTCAACCCCTTCGGGGGTAGGACAAAAGCACACCCCTAAGTGCACTTTTTGTGTGGTGTTTTGCACTTGCACTTTTTTGTGAACACTTACGGGTTTTTTCGTTATAGTTGCACGTTTGCGGACTTAAAAAAAAAAAAAAAAAAAAAAAAAATTTGCCATGTAGAAATATCATTTCTACCAAAAACAGTGATTGATCAGGTTAGTGATGTCTGACTGCTATTATTTTGAACACGACTGTATGTTTGTATGATTGTTCAACAATCAAACGTAAGAACAGTACTTTGGTGGCCAGATTGTGCATTAATGGCTAGTGTGCAGGTCATTTTTTTTTCTCCTAGAACTGACATTAGCTGGGTTTCAATATACCTTTGTTGACACTTTAAATTAAAGCAATAAAAACAGTCACTGGAGTACCATAATACAATGTAAACCCCTCGCCCCAATAAATGTGTTTTCCAAGATTTATAGCATTTCTCTACTTTCTGACTGACCTGTTTGAGGGCTGCCAAGATGCAGGAAGCAATTGTGTAAATTAAGAAAATAAAGTTTAAAAGGGAAACTCATTAGTACTGAGTACCTACCAGAACAAGAATGGATAGCCTTTCCAAACTGAACCAAAAATATGTGTTCCTGACAAACATCTTGGCTTTGCTGGGCAGTATTGTGTAATTTCATTCCATTTCAGCTTCTGCATGGTCTAAGATAACAGAGATCAAAGGCCATTATTCCTGTATTAACTCTGTAATTGTACTGTGGGTCAAGATTCTTCGGTGAATGTATGGTTCCTGAATCCCTGACCTTGTTTAAAAGATGTATAATTGTTTTTCTGTTTCGAAAAGTAGAAATACATATTGGATTATTAAAATTAATAAACTGATAATTATAAAGGTGCCAGATATCAGACAGAGAAGATCCATAAATGTTATGGTGGTGGTGCATGATGGGTTTGTAGATATGCCATTTTGAAATATAATTGAAATGGAAATAATGTTTAGCAACTGCCCTTATTGTTTTTGCTATGGTAGAGAGGCATTCCATTGGCAGACATGTTGGAGCTGATTAATACCTAAAATTGATACTTGCAAACAGCTTTTACACTAAGAAAACAACAATTTTCAGTGTATGCATTTTTTTATTGAACAAATCAATTCTGTCCTGCCCCCAGAAAAGGGACCTATGACCAGTACTGTCTATATTTATTTATTTATTTCAGGTACTTATATAGCGCCGCCAATTTACGCAGCACTTAACATATATATTGTACATTCACATCAGTCCCTAACCCTCAAGGGGTGTACAATCTAAAGGTCCCTAACTTACATTCTTACATACACACACACATACTAGGGCCAATTTAGACAGGATCCAATTAACCTACCAGCATGTCTTTGGTGTGTGGGAGGAAAAACCGGAGTACCCGGAGGAAACCCACGCAAGCACAGGGAGAACATGCAAACTCCATGCAGGAGGGGCCATGGTGGAGAATCAAACCCATGGCTCATTTACTGCAAGGCAGATGTGCTATTATCTATATCTTGTATTGCCAAGTTCTGCAAGCCTCATGATAAACTTCTACTACTGCAGTACCATACAGCACAGAAAGAAATTTATGTCAGGTTTTGTAGGCATAAGCTAGTAAACACAAACTGAGGATTAATTTTCTGGAAAAACAGCCGAGGATAAACAATGGCTGTTATATTTACAACCAGAAGGTCATAATCAAACATTTATGGACACCAATGGCTAGTGCTACATGCTTCCTGGTGTGTAATTGGACTGCAGCTAAACCCTCCTATTCTGCAATAAGCCAGACTGAATGTAGTCTTGAAGCTTTATTAATAGAACAAGGTGGGTGAAGCTATGTGAAAAAGAAATGAGAAGTACATACAATGTATGAACCATTCAAAAACACAATGAAATAATTAGGCTGCAGATGGCAACAAGTCCATGCTCACCAGCAATGCTGTCTTTAGGGGATGTAGGTTTAGTCTATCAACTGCAAGGATGATAGCTGGTTTCATCTCACTCAGTTTTAAGATGGAGTCTAAGCTCCCACAATACACCTGTTTCCTTTTCTCAAAATGAGGGATGAGAGTTATTTTCAAAGTTGATCAGTCTCCAGCTTCTGGAAAACATTACATTTATTTCAGGCTCTATCTAGTGGCTAAATTTAATATTGCAGAGATGATGACGCAATGAATTTCCCTGCTGAAGGCAGAACAGCTAATACTATACATGCTGCAGACTTCAGGTTTTCTATTCTAGTAATAACTTGCAGGTTTGTATTACCACTGGAAGAGATCAGAGTAGACCATTCCCCCCTGAGAATGCATTCTTCCTGTCTTCTTTTCTCCAGAAGGCTGGCACCACTTTTGTTCAGTCATAAGCCAAGGTTATCATCTACTGCCTGAACTGAACCTCTTTCCCTAGATGTCACAAGCATGTATATCCTGGAGCTGGATGATCTGCTCTGTGTGTACAAATATCTTAAACATATCAGTCCCTACTGCTACCTTTTACCTTGTCATGTGATGACAAGGAGAAAGGAGACTGAGGAAATGCTTTCTTCTGCCTGCTGTAGGCTGATAATTTTACTCTCAAATTCTGTATGTCAACCTAGATAAGTTCTCTTCACTTAAGTTCAAGGGCTGTTCAAATGGATACAAGTTTTTTGAAGCATTATACTGTTCTGCTGTATATTTTGACATTTCAAGAATTTATCCATTTAGACTTGTGACATTACTGATAGGTCACCTTTAAACTCCATGTTAACCTTAGGCCTGGCATACTGTTTTGTTGCTTTGATCTCAATAAAAAGAATAAAAATGCAACTTAAAAATGTAGCAGAAAAGTATGCATATAGTTTCGTGAGGTTTAAGGTTTCCTCTGTTGTATTTCAGAACAATGTGAAATGAGTGAGTGGGGATCTTGGAGTCATTGCTCTCGTCCAGCGAAACAGTGCTGGAAAAAGAAAGGAACACAAGTGAGAAGTCGGAAAGTTCTAAAAGCACCATTGGGGGAAGCATCCCTTTGCCCTGTCACAAAAGAAAGGAGGAAATGTACAGTGCTCCAAACCCCCTGTCCAAAAGGTTGGTATGTGATCTCACTAAAAACCAAAGTGCACAATAGTTCTCCTTTAAAGTTCTTCTAGTTGCTTTTTCCTGAATGTTTTTCACATGGTATGAATGGAGCTTAGCGGTGTAACTGCAAAGTTACGCTGGACACAGACTGTGTAATATTCACAAGCAATTCAGTCTGTTTAGTACAGTTTGAATCTCTGATCCAGAATGCTAACTGATCAATCAGATTTTCCAGATGCATGAAAATCATTTGTTACTGATATTATACCATTTCTATTTACTATCAAAAATCACACAGGAAGAAAATAAACACTGCATAACCTGAAAGCAACAACATCACAATGGACAGCTGTTAGGAAGGGCAGATTTTTAATGATCAATGACATCAAGGAGCGTGGTGGTAAAATAACAAAACAAAATACTGGACACCTCAAGGTGTATCTAAAGTTTTCAAAACATTTTTGTTGTTTACTATTTGTCATTTTTGTCCTCCTTGAAATGTTCTGCTACAGGTCATAAACTTTTTGTTGCAATATTTTGCCCAATTCTTCAATAAGAAAATTCTCAACATTTTGAAAAGGTGAAGAAAGTGAAAGTCTCCAGGACTTCAGGCTCATTGATGTTCAGAGCTGGTGACTGGGAAGACCAGCCGTAAAGGCTCATTGATGTTTATAGGCTATCATGGAGGCCATCAAAGGCATCCAGGTGTTCATGACACCATTTTTGAATTACATTGAAATCTATAGGAAGCACAGAGACTGCCAGTGTTGATCTTCCACCTTAAAAATAATAGACCCCTGTACTGTATATCACTCTTGCATTGGTGACTTTCCTTATGACTGTCCACCGATCCCTGTTAAAGAGCTTCAACTATTACCGTACAAATTACGATTACATAATATGCATTTAGAGAAAACAAATCTCAGACAAACTCTGGCTCTTGTTCACTTGATTATGCACTGTTTACACATCAGCCATTTGGAAGTATAAAACAGAAATAGACTAAATATTAAACCATCTTGTCTGTGAATTTATGCCACATCTTTTGGATTCTAATTCAGGGTCCTTAATCTCAATTGGTAGATTATTTGATGGAATTTTGATTAGCAACTGAAAGCTGTAAAATTTACCCACATAAACTTAGAGATACTCTGTCAGGTTGCTAGCAGGTATGAAATTGAACCACCTAGAGGTGGTTTGCTGCTTCCCATCTACCAAGTTCTGGGGCTTTCTGATTAGGCAAAGATCCAGTACTTCCAACAATTTCTATTGGCTAGGAAGGTAGTCTGTAATAGTGATAAGCCATTAGCAATGAGTCAGAGGAAGGAATGTTTTGGCATTAATTGCAAGTGTCGGAATTTTAACTTTAGTAGTAATAGCAGTACATGCAGTGTAGCACAGAGAAGAAGAAAAGACCTGTACATCGTGTTGACAAAGTAACCTCTCAACAAAGAAATGCCCTAATTTAGGAGAGCAAAATTATTTTGAGAACAGTAAGGTGCATATTTTGGACAGAGAGGACAAATGATTCACAAGAGATGGGAAAGAGGTCACCTAAGTCTAACTGGAATAGCCATCCCTTAACAGTGGGGGCCTTTGACAGGATCTGTCTTCCACGCATAATGCCAGTTTAAGATATCTACCCTGGCCTTTTGAAAGCAGTTCACACATGTAGCCATACAAATCAAGTAAATGACACCTACAAAGACTTCCTGACCTCAGGAATGGAATTATGTAACTAGAACAGAGCAGTTCCACAAGTTTCACACCTCCCATCCTGTTCTGCACTGCAGCAGTACACGTATGAAAAATGAAAGTATTGAGTGGGTAGAATGTGCTTTTATGTTAATTTTAAAGGAAATATGTTTGCAGTTTGGAAAATGTTCTTGGAACAGATGTCAGAACATTTTTACTCAAATCTCAGATGTCATTTGTTCAGTTAAAAATGTTAGTGAGCATGAAATAGATAATCATTCACATCTATGCCTCAGAAAATCTGACCTTTGTTTACAATTAGGAATGTAAAGTCTTTCCAGTAAAAAGTATTACCTTGTCCCAGATTAGAAATTAAAAAAAGACTTTCATTTTCTTATTCCTTCATGATATGTTTGGATTATTTAGAAATATAGCCGCTGAAACTTGGGAGTACTCCAGACAGCAGTTGGCAGAGAATTTTACATTCTGATTGGCTGTGAGATTTGTTGTAAAAAACTCAAAATACATGATGGCACTGAAAGTTTCACCACAAAGATGTGTTAGACTATCATAGAATTCTGTAAGGGCCAAGGATGATGATAAAAGTGTAGTGCATGCAGCTTTGTGAGATCATGAGAATTCAGACTGTGCCACAGGCGTCTTAGTGGCTTAGCTTTTGAAAGTGGGCTTCTGTTTAAGATACCTTTCTGCTCCAGGAATTTCTCTGCAGTGAACTTCTATACTCTGGTTTAGTCTTATACGTATCATTTGTTAAAAGGGCATTAATTAAAAGGGGCCAGCTTACATTCTTCCTGTACAAACTTGGCTGGACCCCCGGATGCTATCTCCAAAACAAAACCTCAAGTTCTAGAGCTGCAAAACATCAACAGAGGGAGAAAAACTGCAGAAACAAATCTATCTATGATATGCCTGCTCCTTCTCAACACCCACGTCGGTCTGTGAAGAATGCTAAGTCTGAAGCATCAATATAACTATAGACATGCTTCTTATGAAATTCTGAACCTATTAAAATGCACATCTAAAAGGAGAACTCTAGTCAGCAGTTTTATTAACAGTGCAGAGAACTGTCATGTTTGTTTCGCATGTTAGGATTTTTAAAATAAAAAAAAGTACAATTTTAAATATAGATCTACCAAAACGCCCTCTATGTAGTGAGTGAGAGATCGTAGAAGTCTCTGACACCAAAGTGAGAGCTGCATGGGTATAACACAAAGCAGTGCACTCCAAGATATATAGAGAGATAAAACAACGAGAAAATTGGCACTTAGGTGATTGATATTAGCTCAGTCATCAACAGAAACTCTATTAAAGTAATAAAATATCTCCCTGCAAAGAAGAAAATTAAAGAACTATTATTGCAGTTTTTTATATTGTTCTGCCCCTCATGGGACAAAGTACTGTGGTCTAGTAATGAACTCCCACTTACCCCCTTCCCTGCATGGCAAATCTGGGAACAGCTTGTAAGGAGATGGATCCATCACAACTAAAATTTGCCCAGGCTCAAAGCAGTTTCCCAAAACAAATTTGGCAAGAGGAATGTAGAGATAGGAGACTAATACACACCCAGCATTCCTCTTGTCTTGGGGCAAAACCCCTGAGTCAAGGCAAACTGCAGTTATCATGGATCAGTCTTCTTCCTAGCTGTTGTCTGATTTGTCATGTGGGAGCGTAGCAGGCAGGCTGGATTTCATAGGAAACACCTAGATACATCAGACAAAGTACCGTACTACATGTACTTTGTCCTATGGGGGAAGAACAATGAAAAAAAAACAGTGAACACTGTGCCATCCCAATGTGCATGGTGATGATCTTTTCTATCTTGAAGCGCTAAACTTGCTCAAAAATCTTCAACATTAAGGTGTGCTGGATTCCTGATCCCCCTATGACAGGGGTCTGCAACCTTTAAGACATAAAGAGCCACTTGGACCCGTTTCTTCAACATTAAGGTGTGCTGGATTCCTGATCCCCCTATGACAGGGGTCTGCAACCTTTAAGACATAAAGAGCCACTTGGACCCGTTTCCGAAGGGAAAAAAAAGACTGGGAGCCGCAAAAACCATTGCAACATTTATAACAATCCGACACTGCATATATTGCAAAAAGCACTCTGGTCATGAAGGGGGTTTAAGGGCCCAGTAAGCAAAGGGTTAATCAGGGCCACAGTGTATCTTCATAATCACAATCATAGCCTTAGGTCAGTGGTGGGCAACCTTTTTTTTCAACTGAGCCAAATCTCGCCAAAACCACGATTGAAATTTATTTTGACAGCCACATTTTTAAAACTGAAAATACATCCCCCATATAGTAATTCATCCCCCATAGTAATTCATCCCCCATATAGTAATTCATCCCCCATAGTAATTCATCCCCCATATAGTAATTCATCCCCCATAGTAATTCATCCCCCATATAGTAATTCATCCCCCATATAGTAATTCATCCCCCATAGTAATTCATCCCCCACATAGTAATTCATCCCCCATAGTAATACATCCCCCATAGTAATTCATCCCCCATATAGTAATTCATCCCCCATATAGTAATTCTTCCCCCATAGTAATTCATCCCCCATATAGTAATTCATCCCCCATATAGTAATTCTTCCCCCATAGTAATTCATCCCCCATATAGTAATTCATCCCCCATAGTAATTCATCCCCCATATAGTAATTCATCCCCCATATAGTAATTCATCCCCCATAGTAATTCATCCCCCACATAGTAATTCATCCCCCATAGTAATTCATCCCCCATATAGTAATTCATCCCCCATAGTAATTCATCCCCCATATAGTAATTCATCCCCCATATAGTAATTCTTCCCCCATATAGTAATTCTTCCCTCATAGTAATTCATCCCCCATATAGTAATTCTTCCCCCCCATAGTAATTCATCCCCCATATAGTAATTCTTCCCCCATAGTAATTCATCCCCCACATAGTAATTCATCCCCCATATAGTAATTCATCCCCCATAGTAATTCATCCCCCATATAGTAATTCATCCCCCATAGTAATTCATCCCCCATAGTAATTCATCCCCCACATAGTAATTCATCCCCCACATAGTAATTCATCCCCACACAGTAATTCATCCCCCATAGTAATTCATCCCCCATATTGTCTCAATTCACTTACCTGTGCTCTGCGCGTTCCTCTCGCTGTGTTCCCGCGCCGTTCTGGTCTTCAGGGCAGACTGAGAGAGGAGTTCGTCACTCTGCCCCGCCTACATCCTGGCTGCCCCACCTACATCCTGACAGCCAATGTTCCACGCTCCGCGGGCCGGATTTTTGAGGAGGGAGGGGAGCGGGCGCCCGGCACACAGAAGAGCCGCATGTGGCTCGCAATCTGCGGCTTGCCGACCACCTGGTGGGCAGTGTGCTCCGGAGCCGCAGCAAAGATGAAAAAGAGCCGCATGCGGCTCTGGAGCCGCGGGTTGCCGACACCCGCCCTATGATCTCTGACCTGATCTTCCTGGCCTCTACTTTACTACATATGATGTAGGAGGGCTGGAAGGAAGCACAGTTCAAGGGACCAGGTACCCAACACACCTTGAAGTATGTTAGGTGCAATTATTTTCCAGTAATATTACCTTTTCAAAAAAAGTGAAGATCGACAGTTCAGGTGAGTATTACTTTTTTATATGCATCTTTTAATCTAGCAAAAGAGTTGCTTTAATCCAATCCCTCCAATGAAAACAAAACAGGTGAATTTTTATTGGGAAACAGAGATCTGAAGATTGTTTTAGGCTTTTTTAAGGCTAAAAAATAGCAATCTGTATCAGTGCACTTGAAAGAGTTCTCCTTTATAAGCTCATAAGTGGAAGCTTCCCAGCAAATAGAATTTGCTGGGTCTGTTTCATGGAAGGTATAAAAAGATCCTTCTTAACTGCATCTACTTACATGGGACATAAATAATAGAAATGTTATGTAATTGAATACCCATGGGGCCCCTGAGCCACTGCCATTTAAGGAACTAAAGGGAAACGTTTCCCGTAAGACTCTGGTATGGTACAGATATAATTTACCAAGCAGAATGTTCTGTGTAAAAAAGAGAATAGAAACTCATGCAATGGCTCTGGCTGGGTTTACATTCCAGGTTACTGTAATTTAATGTGGTGAGGTCAGTGATCACAAACACAATTTAATAAAACCAGAACGAAGATCATTGACACAATGGCAAAGTACTGCAAAAAATGCTTGGTAGCCAAACACCTAATTTGAATATGTTTAGATGCGGTTTTTATGCATCTAGCGCTATCGCTGTACATGCCATGCACTGCTAACTGCAAAGTAAATAACAATACAGTGCCCTTTAACATTTTGTGCTGAGACATACACTATATTGCCAAAAGTACTGCCTTTTTATACACACATGAACTTTAATGGTATCCCAGTCTTAGTATGTAGGGTTCATTATTGAGTTGGCCCACCCTTTGCAGCTATAACAGCTTCAACTCTTTTAGGAAGGCTGCCCACAAGGCATAGGGGAGTGTCTATGGGAATATTTGACCATTCTTCCAGAAGTGCATTTGTGAGGTCAGGCAGTGATGTCAGACGAGAAGACCTGGCTGGCATTCTCCGCTCTAATCCATCCCAAAGGTGTTCTATCAGGTTGAGGTCAGGACTCTGTGCAGGCCAGTTAAGTTCCTCAATCCCAAACTCACTCATCCATGTCTTTATGGAACTTGCTTTGTGCACTGGTGTGCAGTCATGTTGGAACAGGAAGGGTCCATCCCCAAACTGTTCTTACAAAGCTGGGAGCATAAAATTGTCCAAAATGTCTTGGTTTGCTGACACCTTAATAGTTCCCTTCACTGGAACTAAGGGGCCAATGTGAACCCCTGAAAAAACAACCCCACACCATAATCCCCCCTCCACCAAACTTTACACTTGGCACAATGCAGTCAGGCAAGTACTGTTCTCCTTGCAACCGCCAAACCCAGACACGTCCATCGGATTGCCAGAAAGAGAAACGTGATTCATCACTCCAGAGAACACGTCTCCACTACTCTAGAGTCCAGTGGCAGCATGCTTTACACTACTGCATCCAATGCTTTGCATTGCACTTGGTGATGTACAGCTTGAATGTAGTTGCTCGGCCATGGAAACCCATTCCATGAAGCTCTCTACTCAGTGTTATTGTGCTAATCTGAAGGCCACACCAAATTTGGAGGTTTTAGCTATTGACTCTGCAGACAGTTGAAGACTTCTGCACACTGTGCACTTCAGAATACGCTGACCCTGCTCTGTCATTTTACGTGGCCTACCACTTTGTGGCTGAGTTGCTATTGTTCCCGGTTGCTTCCATTTTGTTATAATACCACTAACAGTTGAACGTGGAATATTTAGTAGCAAGAAAATTTCATGGATGGACTTATTGCAAAGGTGGCAATGTATCACCGTACCACGCTTAAATTCACTGAGCTGCTGAGAGCAACCCATTCTTTCACAAATGTTTGTAGAAGCAGTCTGCATGCCTAGGTGCTTGATTTTATATACCTGTGGCCATGGAGGTGATCGGAACACCTGAATCCAGTGATTTGGAGGGGTGTCCCAACACTTGTGGCAATATAGTGCATATCCCATTTTTGTAGGTTGTAAGTTCTGTTAGAAAAATTGCTAATAGGGGTTATAATACAGGGTTACAGTTTAGTGTTAATTCCATATTATGACTACACACAGGATGTGTGTCTACATATACAAATCCTGATGCATACCTATTTACTTTTTGCAGTAGTTACAGGAAAACCGAAGAAGGAAAACCAAGGAAAGGAAAAAAAGAACAGAAATCGCAACAAGGAGGAAGGTGGAAACAAAAAAAGGAAAAACCAACAGCGAGTAACTTCCATGCCCATCACTCCTTCTCTCCCAGCAAAGTAGCTCTAAGAACAACCACAACAAGAGATTAATGCTGCTATGTATGTAAGATGCTTGCTCGAACTGGAGCACTGCTACAACTTAAGCACCTACACAATTGGCAAACGCAAAACTCCTAATTATAAAAATGAGTTTATACTGCAGTCAAGTTGAGACTATTTCACCTAGTACTTCCAATGCAGTGAAGTCATGGTAAATGAAGGAGATAACAAGAAAGAAACCGAAAAGAAGAAAAAGAAATAACAACAGCGAGTGACTTCAATGCCAATCACTCCTTCTATTCCAGCAAAGTAACTGGCACGTTAGGAAAAGCCACAACAAGAGATTAATGCTGCTATGTATGTAAGATGCTTTCTTGAACTGGAGCACTGCTACAACTTAAACACCTACACAGTCAGTGAATGCAAAACTCTTAATGGTTAAATAAAAGTTTATAATTCCATAAAGTTGGAACTATTTAAGACTTCTAATGTAGTGAAGCCATGGAAAACAAAGGTACTTCATGAACAATAAAAAGTAAGCATGGTATTGTAGTTATACCCAGCGTGGACACCTTTGAGGTGATGCTGAGCATATTTCAACTTCAGTAGAAGTTACAAAGGCTGGAAACGTTTTTTAGGAATGCTAACGAAATGTGGGTTTTCGTTTCGCCTAGAGAACTCCTATTGTCCCCTTCTTCCTCTAAGTCTGTGTTTTCAGATGTATGTATGACTTAATCTTTGGAGAGTATATGTTCAATTTTTGTGAAAACATGTTGGTGTCATCACCATAAAACTACTTAAAAACTATTTTAAAATGTAAGAAAATGAAGACGCTTCTAAAGGAGGGCAATAAAATGATGTATCACTGACAACGGGACAGTTATAATGAACTAAAGAAGTTTTATTTTCCAATAGATTTGTAAGTGTTTTATTGTTATAAAAAAGGTAATTAAATGATAACATATGATAACTACCATATGAGAGACAAAAAAATCTAAATGGCAATGTGGCCACATTTTTTTTTTTTTATTTGACATATGGATGTGTTGTCTAAGCAACAATAAGAATATTACAAAATGAAATACGTATGAGGCTTTATAAACTGCAACTAATAGTTCAGTATTCCAGTCATGGTATTTCCCAAAGCTTGCCAATCCTGTTTCAAAAAAACACTTCATATTGTCTAAACACAACCTTCATACTAAGGCTAAAGTGTACTACATATCTACTACAAACATCATCTCTGCTGATGAATCGGTTCAACGGCCTGTTGGATTTTTAGCATGCAATTACAGCAAATAGCCAATGGTCTATAGCAATAATCATTGTGTTCAGCCAGCAGGGAAGGCTACCCGCCAGCAGAAAACAATAGTGCTGCTGGAAGGATTCTCCGAACAACACAGAGGTTGATTTACTAAAACTGGAGAGTGCAAAATCTGGTGCAGCTGTTCATGGTGCCAATCAACTTCTAATTTCAGCTTGTTCAATTAAGCTTTGACAAAAAAACTGGAAACTGATTTGGTTTCTATGCAAAGCTGTACCAGATTTTGCACTCACCAGTTTTAGTAAATCAACCTCTGTGTTATATGGAGGAATCGAGTGGGCACAGGTTGCAGGAAAGAAATTCAAATCATCTATGGCTTGCCTTATGCAGGCCATAGATGGGGAGAAAACCGGCTGATTTTTCTTTAAAAAAACGAAAAATTGGTCGTTCAATCGGCCGACGTTACCAGGAACGGTAAAAAAAATCCGATTTTCATCCTGTCTACAGCCGGCAAAAAGTGTCCCTGCAGAGAGCTCCGCTATTTCTTTGACAGTTCTTTGACATTTATAGCGGTTGCAACAATGTATCTATTTGTATCCATTTAGGATACAGATGGTTTTATTCGGAAACAAATAGATACATTGTTGCAACCGCTATAAATGTCAAGGAACTGTCAAAGAAATAGCGGAGCTCTCTGCAGGGACACTTTTTTGCCGGACTGGAATTCCTCTTCTTCTTCATCCTCTTCTTCTTCTTCCTCTTCTTCTTCCTCTTCTTCTTCTTCTTCATCCTCTTCTTCATCTTCCTCTTCTTCATCTTCCTTCTTCTTCTTCCTCTTCTTCTTCATCCTCTTTTTCTTCCTCTTCTTCTTCCTCTTCTTCATCCTTTTCTTCATCCTCTTCTTCTTCCTCTTCTTCTTCCTCTTCTTCTTCCTCTTCTTCTTCCTCTTCTTCTTCTTCCTCTTCTTCTCTCTTCTTCATCCTCTTCTTCTTCCTCTTCTTCTTCTTCTCTTCATCCTCTTCTTCCTCTTCTTCATCCTCTTCTTCTTCATCTCTTCTTCTTCATCCTCTTCTTCTTCATCATCTATTCATCTCTTCTTCTTCTTCTTCATCCTCTTCTTCTTCTTCCTCTTCTTCTTCTTCTTCATCCTTTCTTCATCCTCTTCTTCATCCTCTTCTTCATCCTCTTCTTCTTCCTCTTCTTCTTCCTCTTCTTCTTCTTCATCCTCTTCTTCATTCTCTTTTTCTTCCTCTTCTTCTTCTTCCTCTTCTTCTTCATCCTCTTCTTCCTCTTCTTCATCCTCTTCTTCTTCTCCTCTTCTTCTTCCTCTTCCTCTTCTTCTTCTTCATCCTCTTCTTCTTTTTCTTCTTTTTTTTGTCTTCCTCTTGCAGGTCACTGCTCATGCGCAGATTTTTTTATTTGTAAAAAGATCGGCCAATTTTCCCATAATTGCCGTGAAAATCGTCCGATTGGCAAAATCGGCCGATTTTTTTCCAACTTTACCGATCAAAAAAATCTGCCAAAATACCGAAAAACAGCCGAACAATTAGCCTACTAACGATCCGAAAATCGGCCGATTTTATTTTCGGCTGAAAAATCGGCCGATTTTTGACCCATCTATGGCCTGCATTAGGCTCACCACACAAGTTGCAATGTGATTTTACAATTTCCTTGAGATCTACCAACAACTTTGTAGTGCAAGGGCCTGCCAGATCACATACATTTTGACTGGATAATTTAGTCTAATAATCTAAAGCTTGTACAGTTGTACAGTCACATTAGATGGATTTCTATACAATGTGCATCCAGCTTCAAAGAGGTTCAGCATCTTACCCAAATTCAGCTTTCTCCAACATGGCCAGGAAAGCATGCATCTCAAGCCATCTTAAGTGCTTATATTCTAAGGCAGATCATTGTTTGCTACAATATCAGGAGCACATAATATTGAACTAAACCTGAGGGTTGGATAGGGCAGGAGTGAACCAGGTCTAACGCCAACTTGAAAAATGTTCAACTTAAAGCAACCAAGAAAAACTGTTTACTCACTTATTTGCTTTCACAGAACTGAAAACTGACTGGTTGCTGGTCTTTACACTTTGCTGTTCATCATTGGCTTTCACGTTACTTTCTGAATAAGTAACATGAATAAGTAACTCGAATGCATGTAAGCCACATATGGCACAAAGACAAGTTAATTGAGAACATTCCTATAGAAAGAGATTAGGTGCCAGCGTTCACATGGCTATTACAGATAAAGACAGCTAAGATTTTGATGGTTGAGGTGGGCAAAATCTCCAGTTTTCTTTTTTTAACATGAACAAATCAGCCCTGAGGTGCCAAATATGTGGATATGTTGCCAGATTTCACAATTCTTACAGATCATATATTATATCTAACAAATCGAAAACATGGTAAAACGCAAATGTCTTATCTAGTCAATCAATAGAATATCATTTACAGCAAATGTGCAGCATATTGTCACAATCAAATCATGCCTATGCAATCCTAGAGCTACACATGGCGGTGACGAGCTACTGCCTGATATTGTCATCTTGAAAAATACTACATTTATGATACCCAGTTCGGTTGTAAAGGCAACCCAGCCCAACCAAGAGAAACACATTAAATTCAACACTTTACATTTTAACTACAAAGTATAATAGCTGAAAATGTAACTCATATAAGTGTGAGAGTTAAGTATGCATGGGAAAACACCAACCTTTTCAATAACATGCTTGGGAGATGCGTTTGGTGTTACAGAAAAGAGCGACTCTCACAGTGTCAACGGCACTGCATGCTGGCATCACAAGATTTGCATGGTTAATACATTTTTAAATGTTATATTATTGGTTAGCTTTAACCCCTTGCCTACTGGGCACTTTTACTTCCCCTTCCTGCCCAGGCCAATTTTCAGCTTTCAGTACTGTCGCACTTTGAATGACAATTGCACAATCATGCAGCACTGTACCCAAACAAAATTTTTATCTTTCTTTTTGAGACAGATAGAGCTTTCTTTTGGTGGTATTTATTCACCACTGTTTTTTTTTTTTGCTAAACAAACTGAAAAAGACTGAAAATTTTGAAAAAAAAAAATTTTCTGTTATAAAATTTTGTAAATAAGTATTTTTTCTCCTTCACTGATGTGCGCTAATTAGGCTGCAGTGATGGGAACTGATAGGCTGAACTGATGAATACTGATAGGCGGCACTGATGAGGAGGCACTGATAGGACTCACTGATGGGCATTGACAGGCATCACTGGTGGGCACTGAAAGGCAGCACTCATATATGGCACTGATTCTGTTCTCCCTGTGCCTGCATGGGTTTCTTCCCACACTCCAAAGACATGCTGGTAGGTTAATTGACTCCTGTCTAAATTTCCCCTAGTATGTGTATGTATGAATGTGAGTTAGGGATCTTAGATTGAACGCCCCTTGAGGGTTAGAGATGTGATGTGAATGTACAATATATATGTAAAAGCGCTGTGCAAATTGGTGGCGCTATATAAGACTACCTGAAATAAATAAATAAATAAATAAAATAGGCAGCACTGATAGGCACTGATAGGCAGCACTGACTGGTACTGAGAGGCAGCACTGATTGGAACGCTTAGGCGGCACTGACCGGCACTAATTGGAGGCACTGACTGGCACTGATAGACAGCACTGAAAGGCAGCTCTGATGGGCACTGATATGTGGCATTGATGGGCACTGGTATGTGGCATTGATGGGCACTGACAGGTGGCAATTATGGGCACT